TACCTCTACCCCTATCGGCATGCCCCAACCTCAGCCTAACCCCCACCCCATCTTTGCCACCCTACCACCATCCCTAGCCCTACTCTTTGTCATTGCTATCCTGGCCCCTAGACCTCCGGTCTACTATATTGCACGCACTTATCTATTTTGTCTTTTATAGTGTCTGTCTAACTTATATTATATTTCAAAAATTATTTTATGCTACTTAACCAAACACCATAAAATAAGTAAAAATTACTTATTTTTTAAGGAAAACATTCCCTTCGCACCAAACACCCAAAGTCATTTGTAATTATGTTGCGATTTTTAATACCTCAGTTGATTGGTTAGTATTTGATTTCTCACATTATAATTTTCTCCCATATTTCTCCTTTCCCTGTCCCTATATAATTTTATTATTTTTTTAAATCCTAAGCTATGTTGCTTGCATTTTGCTTAACTTAACATACTCGTATGAAGTAAGTGCTATATTGATATAGATATTGTGCTATATGGATATGGATATTTTATCTTGTTCCTCCAAAATAAAGTAGAATCAGCAAAAAAATTGTACTTGTACTAGTGTATACGGGTAAAATCGGGGATAACGCATACCCCGATTTTCTGGTGAATAAAACTAAGTGAGGTCACGAACATACGAGATCGAAATCGAAGCTGGGAACTCTTTATATCGAGGCACGTGAAAAGTGAATGAAGAGTTCGCCATCAGTACTGATAAAACGACGCACCCCGGACTCAGGATGAGTTATGAGACTTCAGAGAGCATAATGAACGGTTATACACGATGAATAGAGGACCGTGATATCCGCAACCAATCAGATATCACGGCGTGGATCTTGTTCGATGACAGTTACATATCAGTAATTAATGAGAAAGGAAGATTTTTACCTTTTTTTTAGACTTGTACTAGGGATGAAACTCTCCTACTATATAAAGGGGAAGTGTTTCTTTGATAACACATATTGTAATACGAAAACCAAGGCAATACAATTTATTTTTTCTGCTCTCTAGCTATTACAAACTTCTTACTTTACTGTTTGTTCTTCATTCATAATTGGCTTCGAACCGAGAGTCCGATCGAGGGCAAAACTATTGTTCAACCTAAGTTCGAGATGGGCCGTAACATTACAAGTGGTTTGATTATTCATTGTCTTTAACTCGTTTATCTAATATCATTGATTATTTATGTTGAATTAATTCACATATCCTTAAAACCGCGTACAAATTTAATTGTTATCCATTTTAAGGGTAAACAGTTTGGTGCCCACCTTGGGGCTAAGGATAATAGTGATGATTTGATATAAATCTCCATAACGCACTCTATGTTACACTTGTTCTTTAAAGTCTTAATTTCAGGTCAGCTTAAAAAATGTCGAATTCTCAACCTGCCCATTTGAATGTTGACGCTGAATCTGGCCATCATGGCAAAAATAACAATTCGATGCCTAGCAACGAGGTGCCTCCTGCTAATCCCAACGGTGTCCCAGTTGTCGATCTGGTCGATGCTAACTCACATGTGGCCATCGACGTCAATCTGTCAACTGATCCCGAAAATAGTGTTCGTAGGGGACCCCAACCGACAGCTCGAGAATTGCCCGAAGGGGAAGGTGATAGGGTAAGCATACAGTTAATCTTTGAAATGTTGCAGACTCAATAGGCGGCAATAGCATATCTACAGAATCAAGGTCACGCCCCCAACAGGGTCGAACCCAAACAATCCCGGGAAAGTACCTGAAGAAACGAATAAGTCACAGAGAGACCGGGTGAAGCTGAGCCGGAGGTCAACCCTGAGATAATGAAAATGCTTGAACCATTAACGAAGCGGGTGGAGTCAGGTGAGAAGAAAATTGAGGCTAATGACAAAAAGGCGGAAACATACAATTCTAAGGTCGATCAAATTCCGGGAGCACCCCCGATACTGAAGGGACAGGATTCCAAGAAATTTATCCAGAAGCCTTTTCCTCTGAGCGTGACACCGAAGCCGATCCCGAAAAGGTTCCTTATGCTTGACATCCCCAAGTATAACAGAACCACAGACCCAAACAAGCGTGTGACCTCCTATACATGCGCGCTCAAGGGAAATGACTTGGAAGATGATGAAATCGAGTTGGTGTTACTAAAGAAGTTTGGGGAGACTTTATCCAAAGGAGCGATGATATGGTACCACAACTTACCCCCAAATTCCATTGACTTATTTGCTATGCTTGCAGATGCTTTCGTGAAAGCCCATGCCAGGGCCATTAAGGTCGAGACCAGAAAGTCAGACCTTTTTAAGGTTAAACAAAGAGACAATAAGATACTCAGGGAGTTCGTGTCGAGGTTCCAGATAGAACGGATGGATCTGCCTCCAATTGTAGATGTTTGGGTCGTTCATATAAGGCCCCATTAAATTTCACCTAAAACCCGAGGTTTCGTGATGTCGGGGTAGAGACTTTTTGGATTGATCAGTGCGTTGGGGAGTTGAAGAATTTTTTTAGAGGTGTAGAGCATTTCTGCGGTCATTTCTGCGGTCAATTCTGCGGTCGCAGAATTGATATGCGAACCGCAGAACTGCCGCAGACTGAGGCAAAAACATGGGCAAATTTCGGACCATTATGCGGTCCATTATGCAGCCGCATAATCATTTCGCGGACCGCATAAACCATCACAAATCCAACATGAAATTTTTCAGAGGGGAGTTCTGCGGCGCATTATGCGACCGCAGAATACAAACCGCAGACCGGTCGCAAAGTGGGGCAGGATTGCCCAGTTCCGGAGGGCCATTATGCGGTCCACTTTGTGGACCACCGAAGCATTATGCGGTCGTATATGCAATTGCAAATCTGCATCGAGGGTCATTTTTGGAAATTTTCTTATCCGACCTTATTTTGATATAAGGCCTTAGGGGGTCATTTTGAAGGCAAAAATTTGATATTTTAGAGAGAAGTGAAAGTGTTCTAGAGAGAGAAGAGGAAACTCTAGGCTAATTGTTCCTAAATCCTTGCTCGAGACTTGGAGAATTCACAAGAAAAACTCACAAGGTCTTCATCTAAGAGGTAATGTTCTAACCCTAGTCTTCAATTTCGAGTTTGGGCAGAAGATGGGAGATTGGGAGTGTGATTCTTGGGTAGGAGAGTTGTTATTTATGCATGCAAGTAAATATAAGGATGGTGGGAATGTAATTGAGCTAATATGAGTAAACTTTTGGTATTGAATTGGTTGTGAGGTGAGGAAAATCTTATATAAGAACTTTGTAGTCAAATTTGCATACCTAGTATTTGATGAAATGCCTAAATGAGGTGAACCCACGAAAATCTTCCTAATTATGATTCAATTTTGTTATGTTTCTAAATAGATTGGACTGATAGGATTTTCAGAACATTGTAGTAATTTAAGGAAAGATCAAAGCAAGGTATGTTGGCTAAACTCCTCTCTTAGAATTGAATCCAACGGTATTCATGTAATTTATGTAAGTCCCGAGTTGTTCATTATAAAATTGGCTATTCCGAATAAGCTTGTGTTGAAACATATATGTTCAATATGTATCCCAAATTCTTTTATCATATTATGTTACCATTTGAGAATGTGTTCAAAGTATGGGCTGTGCATTAAAAATATTTCGACTTCAAGTTAAGTTAAAACGAAAGCTATTATGCCAAATTTTGTGAAAACACTCTATGTGCCTAAGACTCTTAATTGCTCACATGTATACTAAAAATATTGATTTGAAATGCCTTGTTATTGATGATGATGATGATGATGTTTGAAAGTATAAAAGGTGAGCATGAAATACTAAATACGGCTGACGTGCCAATAATGATTTTATAATTGTGGCCACTAGTGCCAATGAAATGAAAAGATGTGAAAGAAGTATGAAACGAGATGATTGGTAGAAAAGTATGATGTCGATCCACACATCATTGTGGTGAGACGGCCTAGCCGATCAGGTCGTGATCAGACGCCATACATTGTGGTGATTGTGCTAGAAATTGTAGTTGAAACTGTGATTGTGGTTGATGTCTCAGATGAGACGGCCTAGCCGATCGGGTCATGATCGGACTCCGTGCTAAAAGTACGGTGGTATTGTGAACGATGGCATATTGTTACTAAAGATCTCCCAACTTAAAATATGGAAATTTATTTGAACATTGTCTTGGTCCTAACTTGAGGTTTGATGTTGTTTGAGGCTTCCACTGATATTATGATTGTTCTTGCTTGTATTATTAATCGTTCTATTGAGAGGGTGTTTTGTCATACATACTAGTACTATTCCATATGTACTAACGTCCCTTTTGTCGGGGGCGCTGTATCTTCAATAGGTAGCAGGTGGTTCCACAGCAGGAGACATTGATCAGTGATAGCGGTACACCCTCTTCCCAGCTGACTTGGTGAGCCCCACTTCATTTCGGGGTCATGTATATTTTGTTCCTTATGTATTGTGTTTGAGGTATATCCGGGGCCTTGTTGCCAGCACTATCATAGTACTCTTTTGTATCTATTAGAGGCTTCGTAGACATAGTGTGGGTTGTATATTAGTGTTGGGGAAGTAACACAAGTTATGTTGTGTTTGAATTACTTGTTCCA